GCAGGTGGTGCAGGACACCGTGCAGGTCTTCCAGCACGCCGTGCCCGCCGAGGGCAAGCCCGTCACCAACCAGAAGAACTCCGGTAAGCGGCTTCCCGGCCCCCGGGTGCGGTCCCGCGGCGGCTCTGGCGCTCGGGGAGGGGGTGGTGTAACGCCGGCTGCGCTCCTGGGAGCTGTGGCCGCTTCTCGAGTCCTTCTGACAGGCTGTAGAGCAAAACTGAATGCCTGCAGCATCCTCCCGAGTTAGTAACTGTTAGCAGATTCCCAGCATTTACCTCTCCTGTGGTCTTCAGATAAAATCAGCTGAGACCTGCAGTTACAGCAAAAGATTTCTGAACTTGTGAGCTTTTTGGTACTTTACAAGCTCAGCTAGAATAGTGAGCCAAAGACTTGAGGTGGAGCTATGTCATGAGTCTTATGTTTAAGGTCTCAGGAGAGACCTCACTCTCAACAACTCCCTGAAAGGAGGTTGGAGCCAGGTGGGGATTGGTCTCTCCTCCAAGGAAGATGCAATAGGACAAGAGGAAACAGACTCAAGCTGTGTTGGTGGAGGTTTAGGTTGCACATGAGGAACAATTTCTTCCCCAAAAAGGTTGTCCAGAGCTGGCCCAGGCTGCCTGGTGGAGTCCCCATCCCTGGAGGGGTTTCTAAGCTGTGGAGATGTGGTGCTGAGGGACATGGGTCAGTGGTGCCCTAGTGCTGGAGGAACTGTTGGACTCAATGGTTGTGAAGGTCTCTTCCAGCCAAAACACCTCTATGATTCTAAACAAGTTACACAGCTCTTGAGTATGGATGTTCCAGCTTAATTCTTGTTCCTTTGGTCTCTCAGGGAGGTGTTGGATCTTCTCCTGTCTCAATGCCATGCGTCTTCCCTTCATGAAGAAATACAACATCGAGGAGTTTGAATTCGAGCTTTTTGGTACTTTACAAGCTCAGCTAGAATAGTGAGCCAAAGACTTGAGGTGGAGCTATGTCATGAGTCTTATGTTTAAGGTCTCAGGAGAGACCTCACTCTCAACAACTCCCTGAAAGGAGGTTGGAGCCAGGTGGGGATTGGTCTCTCCTCCAAGGAAGATGCAATAGGACAAGAGGAAACAGACTCAAGCTGTGTTGGTGGAGGTTTAGGTTGCACATGAGGAACAATTTCTTCCCCAAAAAGGTTGTCCAGAGCTGGCCCAGGCTGCCTGGTGGAGTCCCCATCCCTGGAGGGGTTTCTAAGCTGTGGAGATGTGGTGCTGAGGGACATGGGTCAGTGGTGCCCTAGTGCTGGAGGAACTGTTGGACTCAATGGTTGTGAAGGTCTCTTCCAGCCAAAACACCTCTATGATTCTAAACAAGTTACACAGCTCTTGAGTATGGATGTTCCAGCTTAATTCTTGTTCCTTTGGTCTCTCAGGGAGGTGTTGGATCTTCTCCTGTCTCAATGCCATGCGTCTTCCCTTCATGAAGAAATACAACATCGAGGAGTTTGAATTCAGCCAGTCCTATCTCTTTTTCTGGGATAAGGTACAGTAGTGTGGGCTGCAGGTTATGCTGCAGCTTACACAGTCAGCTTACTGAGATAGAACTTCTTTTAGGCTGGACCATCTTAACAGTTCAGGTGGCAAACATACATGAAAAGAAACTTCAAAGGTTCTTTAAATATTTTAAATGCAGACCATGCAAAATGGGACATTGAGCTTGAGAAGAAAGTTGTGAAGAGATTGATGCTTTGGAACAGTGAAAGTCTTCTTTCAAGTGCTGTGCATGTTTCAAAAGTTACATGTAGGAGCTGCAGGGAACATGACTGCAACTTTCTGTTGAGCTTTCAGTCATGGTTGTGTTCAGGTCTGCAAGCTGTGTGCCTGCTAGAGAAAATCTAGTACTCGTGTGGGCCAGGGTTCATTGCATGACTTCTTTCACATTTCCTGTTCCCTTACCCTCAAGCTCTCTGCTAACACACTCCTAGATATTTGGTCTGTGATATAAAAAAGTTTATAGGGTAAAACCTGGAATTCTAGAGGAATTCTAGGAGTTCAGTGGGTGAGCAGAAGGTGGCTTTGTCTAGTTAGGACTTCTGAAGAACAGAATACTCAGGGTGTCACAATGTCACACTTAAAAGTTCTGTTTTTCCTGCCTGTCTGTTCCAGGTTGAACGTTGTTACTACTTTTTAAATGCTTTTGTGGAAACAGCTCAGAAAAAGGAGCCTGTGGAAGGAAGACTGGTACAATTCCTGCTCTCCAACCCCACAAATGATGGTGGACAGTGGGATATGCTGGTTAACATTATTGGTAAGAGAACTGGTCGCTAGGAGCCCTTCCTGGAATTGCACACTGGTTTGAGAGATGACAAACAAAGTAGAAGAAGAAATAGAGTTTGAGACCTGGCAGTTTGCTAAGGAACATGATGCCACTAGTTGCTACTTAATTAAATACCTCTTGCATGCCTGTTTCTAAATATAAAGCTTAAATCTTGTCTGGGATCTCCACTCTTGCATATTGATGACAGAAACTCAGAAGATCAACAGAAACAGAGATCCCAGACTGTCCATTTAGTAAAAAAGTTCAATCCCATTTTACTTCATTCATCAACTCAACATTGCTTAGTTGTATCCATTTGCACAATTTTTAGGGCACATGGTAAGGGGGGAGAAAAGTGTTGCTAATTTAAGTTGTGTTTATAAGACAAACAAAACTACTTGGGGTTGCCTGAGGAAAGATGGCATAAAGATCAGTGAGTGGGAAATGATGTGGAATGTGGCAATGCTGGTCTTACAAAGATCCAGCTTAAGTGAGATCTTCCTTATGTTGATTGAGGAGGTTTTTCTCCATGGCTGAATTACACTACTGTTTGCTTTCATTTGTATTGTGAAACAATGTGACACCTTTGTGAATCAACAAGCAATAATGTGAGCTTAGAATCACAAAAGGGATTTGTTTCTTGAAGCCTGGAGGTTACATTTTTCCCCATCCAATTGTTATAAATATTTAATCAGCAGGGAGAAGATTTTGGATGCTGCTGTTACATCCAGAGCCTTGTATGGTGTGATCTTAGATTGGTTCCATAATTTAGGAAGCCATTGAGTTGCTGCTGGTGTTTTGTAAAAGTTGAGGAGGAAAGGAGACTGGGGAGCTGGCCACTTCACCTTTGATAAAATACACAGAGTTCAGAGGAGGCTCTCTTCTTTAGAAGATGCTTCAGGAGATTAATCTTCAAGTTATCTTTTTTTCTGGTGAAAAGAGCTTCTTTAAAAGCACTAATTGCTTTAGAACTTTGAAGTGTTGAATTAAAAGATACTGAGTAGTTCAGGGATTCCACTTTTTGGTACCCCTGTGGAATGCAGATAAGAGGTTGTGTTGGTGTGGCTGAGCTGATTTCCCATTGCAGCCCTCGTGGTGCAGGGATTTTGTTGGGAGTGTTGATCACACTCATGTTGTGACTACCCCTGAGCAGTGCTCACAGCACCAAGGCTCTTTTAATGTTACCCCCTGCAGGGGGATAGGAGGGGGCAGGAGCCTGGGGGGAACAGAACCAGGACAGCTGACCCAAACTGACCAGGGGGATATTCCAGACCACAGGACAGCAGCTCAGCTATAAAGCCAGTAGAAAGGAAAGGAGGGGGGCATCTGCTCCTTGGTCCTCCAGAGCAACTGCTATGTGTTTTGGAGCCCTGCTTCCCAGGAAGGGGCCAGACATTGCCTGCTGATAAGGAGAGAATAAATCTGTTTTTTTTCTTTGCTTCTGCCCATGGCATTGCTTGGCTTTGCTTTCTAATTAAACTGCCCTTGTTTTTACCCACAAGGGTGTTGCCTCCATCTTATTTCCCTTTCCCCTTTTGCTCTGTGGAGGAGGGAGAGGAAAGGGGGAAGGTGATAGTGGCTTGGTGGGCATCCCTTGCTCAGCCAGGGTTAACCCACCACAGAGGTCAAGGTTCAGTCACAGATTAAAGTATTCCAAGTTTACATTTTAACCTTGAACTAAGAGGCTTTCCCTTCTATCTGCACAAAACCCAACTACATTCAGCTTTTATGTGGGTATAAGCAGAAGCACTAGGATATTACTGGGTGGAAAAGACAGTTGGTAACCCATAGTTTTATTACTTTCTTTTAGAAAAGTATGGTGTTGTCCCCAAGAAATACTTCCCGGAGTCTCATACCACAGAGGCCACTAGAAGGATGAATGAGATCTTGAATCATAAGGTAAAATTGATTTAGATTATATAGTTAGGGGGAGGGGATAAGAATGAACTTGTTCCAAGCATTCCTAGCCAACTTAATTCTCTTAATTGACCAAAGTATTAAGTGCATCTCAGCAACTTTACTTGGTTTTATTCAAAAAGCAGCCTGATACATGAGTCAAGTCTGATGTTGATCTTGAAACATGGAGCAGGAAGGTGTGTTTGTGGAATATGGCCACTGCCAGGCTTCAGCTTGAAAGTACTCCGTGGTTTTAGTAGACATTGTTCCCATCCTCAAATTAAAAAAAAAATTGTAACTTCATGTCTGGCTGATTAAGTCTGTTTCTGCAAAGCTAGCACTTGGCATCTAGGTGACTTTTTTTCTGCCCCCTCTCTAGTTCTTCTATCAGTATATCAAGGTTTCTAGAGATTACTGCCAAATTTGGTCCAAAGGTTTTCAAAAATGTGTTTTCAAAACACAAAAGCCTAACAATCAGCTTTCAGTATAGAGTGTGCAGCTTTGTCTGAGGGAGGGTGTAAGCTTGCTCCCTGAACTGCAGATATGAATTCATCTGGGAAGATGCCAGTGTAGGGAGGGACATAAAAAGGCAATTAAAGCATTATTTATAGTAAGCTATGGTATTTTTTCCAGTTCACAGGCTACGTGCTCAGGGAAAATTGCCTGCTGAAATCCACATTAAAAATGTAAAATATGTACTAAAATGAGCTTAAACATGATGAGTGGTATTAATGTTATTCTAGTCTTGGGCATAGCAAAGCAGCAGGTCTGGAGGGAGCCCCACTCACTGTTCCTGACCTTATGGATGGTGACAGTAATGGGAAGCACATGCTGCTCTTACTGCAGTGCTGCATGCAGTGGGGAAATACTCTGCTCCTCTTATCAACCAAGAGATCAATTATGCATTAGAATTGCAAAATAAATTTTACAGTATGAGGACAGTTTGTTCTGAGTCACAGAGATGGGGATGTGGATGGATGTTGTGGCAGCAGTTGGAGAAATAAAAGCTAATGGCTGTGAGCTTCAGATCAATGGCTGGAAAATAGTATTTGGGTTGCAACTACTTGTTAATTTCTGATTTATTTTGTGAGATTTTTGGAGTCCTCTTATTTTTAAGTTATTCAACTATCTTGATTTTTTTAAAAATATCTAACAAAGCCTCTGAAAGGGATTTTCTTTTAATCTTGAAAACATGTTATGAAGGGTAAATTAGATGCTTGAAAGAACCCACTAGGAAGTTCTAAAACCTACTTAGGTGTCAGCTTTCATATCTTATAATGACTTTCTCTTTAAACAGATGAGAGAATATTGTTTGCAGCTAAGAAATATGGTGGAAATTGGAACAATGAAAGGAGAGCTTTGTGCTGCAATGGACACCATGATAGAAGAGGTAAATGTGTGACATGAATCCTCCTGGAACTTGAGGATGAGATGGATGAGATTTCTTGCTTACTCTTGTTCTAGCTATAGCTATTGGATCAGCCAAAACAAGTGCCTTTTTTTGCCTAAATAGGACTTTTTTGTATGACAACATGCCTGGAGGTGTTCAGGTGGATTTTCCTGGAGTGGCTTGTTGCTTATCTCATGCTGAAATTTTCTGATACTTCCAGACAACTATGACATCGTACAGAGACATCTGCCCTTTCTGTAGGGAAGCAGCACTTTGCATCTTGAGAGATCAAAATAGTGTCCTCTCAGTTGTCTAAACAGTAGGAAAAAGGCAGGTGGGAAATTGCATTCTCATGGCTTTGAATATAAAATCTGACAGCACAAGTGTTGTTGCAGAAACTCCCCACAAGAGAGCAGAGAAGAACAACAAAAGGTTTAGTGGTGACCTGGCAGTGCTGTGTTGATGGTTGGACTGAATCTTAAAGGTCTTTTCCAACAAAAATGATTCTGATTCATTTGTTTCTCAAAATACAATGCAAAATGACCCAATGGTTTTAATGGCTCTTACTGAATGGCTCAAAAGGTCAGGTGTTTTGGTTGTGTGACAGTTTTTCTGCAAACCAGTAAAAATCAGTTAGGCAGAACCTACCCTGGGCTATTTCTGTAAAGCTTCAGACAGCTCCACTGGTAGGCAAGTAATGATTAATAGGTTTGGGTTTTGGAAATTCATCTTTGCACTGAGTGTAAAAACCTGTAGCTTTTTTATCCAACCTTAAAATTAGATTAGAAATTGATTTTTGTTCTTTGGGTTGTACCATTGAAATGGAAACTTACAAAACACATGCCTTAAGATGAGCAGTAATTCTGTGCTTTGAGCCTACCCCAGTATGTTGCAAATCACCACTTTGTTCAAAAGTTTATTAATATAATTTATATCCAATGTGTGTCCAAAAGCTCTTGGAAGATTTTACAGCAGACATCAAAAGCTTCCTAGAGATGTTCATTTGTAGGGCAGTGACATACAGTTCACTGGAAAATGTCTCTTGTTTAGAGCCTCTTGCCCTCTGATAAGGGATCCTGGAACCAGCACTAAAGACTCATTAACTGATTGCAGTTTGTTCTGTAAAAAGGTTGTGCTTAATTGTCTGGAGTTAACACAGTATTTCCTCTTGCAGTGGTAACAGTTGTTTGAAGCTTAAGTGGATTTACTGTCAATAATTACTGTAATTGAAATGTGCAATTGCACCTGTCTTGTATACTTTAAAGCCACTTGGTTTCAGACCACTCTTATTTCCTGTGTTTATATGTATATAAGTGGTGTTGCATCTGGTTTTGGGTTGTGGCAAAGCAGAACTTGGGTTTGTTCTGTGAGGTTTTATTTGCATAGCAAATTTTGTTTTGCTCAAGCTGGGAGGCAGTGCTCTAGTTAAAATGGGGCAGTTGTACTGGAACACAGGATTAAACATTCACTCCAGAACTGTACAAACATTCTTCTTAGTGAAGCAGAGCACACAGCAGGTCAGAAGTTGAAATCAGTGCAGTGCATGGGATTGAATTCTTCTTCCTTCACTCTTCTCCTTTGTAGACTCTTCATTATAGGGAGCATCCTTTTCCCCTCCTCATTCATCTTGGCTTTTGGCACAAGCCACAGTATCTTTACCTTATCTTGGTTCTAGTTGTTGCTAGAATGATGGAAGTCATGCTTTAGTTAAAATGTCTGCTTATTTATTGATAGAGGAAGCTTGTGAGATACTAAGAGAGCCTATGATGGGTGTGGTTGCAAAACAATTGAGGGAGACCATTCCCAGGCTCCATGGCCTCTGTTGGCTTGAGACTTCTGTCTCCATTTCCCCTCCTCTGGCTGGAGCATGCTTGCTCCTTGCTCTCCTTTTAGTTGTTTTTCTTACTTTGTTTTCATAGCCTCATCCCTCACCACTTTGGGTTATCTGAGGTAACGTGGGTGTAGCCACAGCAAATCTACCTTTTGTGCAGTATGTGCAAAATTAAATATTTATAGTCATTTAGGGGTTTACATTTGCTCTTTAACATATTTATTGAGAAATAAATGTTTCTACTGGAAGAACTCACACATTAAGTGCACACCCTCGTTTCAACCTGTAATTAATCTCTCCACTTGTTTTCTTAAATTGCTTGGAGCAAAAACACCTTTATTTGTATTCTGTGCACAGCCCAACAGTGTTATTTAGCATGAACACTGCACTCCTTTTGTAATCAAAGTGCACACCAGCACAAACCTCGTTCTTATGGAGCCTTAGGATCCATCTAAATCAGCTCAGCAAGCTCCAGAAGGAGTAAGTCAGCTTTGGGACAGGCTTTCTGTCTGGTCTCCCAGGAAGTCAAGGAGGGGAAGGTGTGAAGACTCACAGCTGAGGAAAGTTGGCACCAACCACAGGCATTGGGTCCTAGTGCAGAAGGTGCAGCTGAAATTTCACCTTCCCTTCTGTTATTTTAAATAACCTGTTGGTTCCTTGCAAGGAAAAGACTTGATTTGTGCTCAAGATATGGACAGAGCTGAAGGAAAACAGATTCAAACCTGTTTAAATACTCTGTCCTCAGAGTACCTGTGGCAGGTCCTGCTAACTGTCCCTGAAGAGTCATCTGGTTACAGTGCCTGTGAGATAGCACAAAATACAATAAGCCCTGGGAGAAAGCACAGAACTGATTCTGGAGGGCAGTTTCATATTCTGATTTATGAGGAGCCTGATGACTTGAAATCCAGTCACCTCATTGTGCTAAAAATCAGCACAAAGCTGCTGGCTGCAAAGGACATTACAGTCAGCAGGCAGGGATCTTGAATGAAATTATATAACCTGCCAGCTCAGCTCTAAACCAAGACATTCTTAAATGTATTAGACAAGATTATTTATTCTAGGCTTTTGAAAAGAAGGCCCATCTTTGAAATCCAAATTAACAGTACAGGGGGAAAAACACTAGTCAGGGGAAGTGCTAGGATTAAATGCTTTGCTGTGTGCATGTTAGAAGGTCTGGTTTGTCTCTGCATGGGGCAAACCACCTTGTAGACCAGGTGATGCTGAAGGCAGGAGTCTTTCTACAATCAGTTTGATAAAGTTTCTGTTGCACTGGGAAAGTGTTTTGAAACTCCTCCAACAAGATAACTTGGGAAATATTGGAATGAGACTGGCCAGTGTATTGGCTTTTGCTTTTGGCTGCTGTGTTCCTGGAATAAGCTGGTATTTGTCAAACCCTCAGCTTCTGTTTTGCCTGATGGTTTGCCTGAGAACGTAAAGTGGAGAGAGATTCTGTGGATTTTCCTGTGACCTTTCTGGTTGTTTCTGAGCTGCTGAAACACCTAGATATCCAGAGCTGAATGCAAATAACTTGTGTATGTTTATTCATGTTCTTCAAAGGTGACTGTTAAGATCCCATTTCTCCAGCTGGTTCTCACATGGAGAAATCCATTCCTCAGTGGCATTGCTGTGGCAGGAGGGGCAGACCTGCACGTTTCATCAAGCTCATGGCTGTTTGCTTCTCTGGGCAGGTATTCAGAATAGTGAGTACTTGTCTGGGCAGCCCTCCAGAGACCTTCTGCTGGGAGTTCCGGGATAAGGAGAAGAACTACCACAAATATGGCCCTATGACACCAGTCCAGTTCTACAACGAGCATGTGAAGCCTTACTTCAACATGGAGGACAAGGTTGGGCTGCTGAAAGGTGGTTGCTTCCCAAGGCTATTTTTGTTTTTCACTGTTGCAAGTGTACAATCCACTCCTGTAACTGCACTGTGTGGGGTGGGTCCTGCTCCATGGGTGACCCTGTTTGTTTCCCCATTGCCCTGTTTGTGCTCTACCCTTCAATTTGCACCTCCACGGTGGTTTTGTAATGATAAAATATGCAATGAGCTAATTGGTCATTAAAATGCCACAAGACAGCCATTAGAAAGCACAAATAACATCCAGAGCTTCTATGTCAACAGTTATGAGGTGAACTTATAAAACAAGAAGCAAAGAAAACCTTAAAAAAAGCCTGGTGTGTCAGCCAAGTGGCTTGTCTGCTAATGGGATAGACAGCTAGCTGGGACAGGCTGAAATCTGTGTAGATTCACTTCTCAAAGACTTCAGTTAAGTTCACCTGAATTTCTGGCACCTTGTTTTTTGGCAGATCTGTCTGGTGAACGACCCTCGGCCTCAGAACCCGTACAACAGGCTGTACACAGTGGAGTACCTGGGCAACATGGCAGGAGGGAGGAAAACCCTCTACAACAACCAGCCCGTGGAGGTCTTGAAAAAATTAGCTGCAGCATCTATTAAGGATGGCGAGGTTGGTTTGGTTTCTCTTCAGGGATGGCATGGTGCAAGTCTTGTGATGTAAAACTCACTGGGCTGTGGCCTAGATATGACTCTGCCTTCCATTTCCAGGCTGTGTGGTTTGGCTGTGATGTTGCAAAGCACTTCTATGGCAAGCTGGGAATCAATGACCTGAATATGTAAGTAGAAAATCTAAGCAGAATACCACATGGGATACTTGGCTAGGACATAAACAGTCCTTTAGCTGCTTAAGAAACTAATTTGAACATATATTTGATTATGTAGACCCCAAAAGAGTATATTTAAGTCAGCAGCAACAGAATTTTCTTTTTTTGCACTTATTAACTGAAATCTGAGTCCTTTAAAGATGCACTACAAGTGATGATTAAATATTCTTACTCGTTTGAATTGTCCAGTGTCTGGTAAGAGAAACTCCTAAAGGGGTCAGTTTTTGCAGTTATTCTGACATTCAAAATAGCTGAACTTGCCTGCATGTGCTCTGGTTCCTGGCACAGTGCAGTCTGAATCCCTGATTAACCAGTGAGAATTCTCCCTGCATCCTTTTTCATATTGCTTATGTGGCTTTCTATTAGATTTAACCATGAGCTGGTGTTTGGTGTGTCTGTCAAGAACATGAACAAAGCAGAACGGTTAATCTTTGGAGAATCAATGATGACCCATGCCATGGTCCTGACAGCTGTCACTGAGAAGGTATTGTCTCCCTCCTGAAGTTCTGATGCTGGCACAGATGTTTGTGTGTTCTGGGCTTGTTCTCAGTATGTACACTGCTCTGCTGGAGTTCAGCCTGTGCCACAAGGCCTATGCTCTCTGTTCTCCCTGTGCTGTGTCTGAGGGTTCAGAACTATAAATATTTAACAAGGAGTGAAGAATTTCAGGCAAGTCAATGACTTTTTTCCTTCTGCCCATAAACCTTTATTGGAGAAAGGGGAAAGAAAGTCAGCTTCTATTTTTAAGATACCAGAAGATGTATGCTGATTTTTAAATACAGGTTCTGATTTATCTTGCTGAGTGAGAAATCTCCTACCTTATGTCATTGCACCTCCAGTCTGTTTTACAGGCCAAAGTTCCTTCTGTTAAAATGCCAGTAGGAGGCACTTTGCAACAAACTTAACCTCCTGCAACTCACTGGCATGTGACCTCTCTGACTTACTCATAATTAGGGTAGGAAGACTGTCTGAAATAGCTCTGTGGCAGACAGTAGGATGGGATGGATCCACAACTGAATCTGCTTCTGGCAGTAAAACAAAGCACATATGAAGTTAAAAAGAACCATGTGAAAATTTACAACTCAGGGTTATCTGCAGTGTCAATGTTTTCAATTTATTTCCAGAAGTTGTCACTGTTCAAGTTTCTTTGAAGTGATCTTTTCCTGTCCAACGTGACCTTGGCTTGTGAAATAACAGCTTGCCTAGAACTGAAAGTTTCCTTGAGCTCTGGAGCTTGAGGACTTGAGATGGGACCTACTGAGTCAGTAATTCTGA